GTACTTCTTGCCACTGTTGTTGACTTTCCTGTAGTTGCTGCTAACTTTCCTGCAACTGTTGGAGACTTTCTTACTGTTTCCTTTCTTGTTCTAGTTGCCACTGCTGTAATCTCTCATCTTGTTTCTTTTCTTTTTCCTCTAACAACTGCTGTAATTTCTCTTGTTTATTTTGCTGTTCAAGCTGCCACTGTTGCAGGTTTTCTTACAACTGCTGTAATTTCTCTTCTTGTTTATTTTCTTTTCCTCCAACAACTGCTTTAATTTCTCTTCTTGTTTATTTTCTTTTTCCTCCAACAACTGTTTTAATTTCTCTTCTTGTTTATTTTCTTTTTCCTCCAACAGCTGCTGTAATTTCTCTTCTTGTTTCTTTTTTTTCCTCCAAGAACTGCTGTAATTTATCGTCTTGTTTCTCTTCTCGTTCTTCTTGTTTCTTTTGCTGTTCTTGTATTGCTGACATCAAATCTGCTAAGGTGTAGTTTGATTTGCCGCTTCTCGTTTCCATTTTTTTTATCCCACTTCTGACACCAATTTGTTACGCCTCCGTTCATTAGTTAATTTTCCGTAAAAATTATTTTTGAAGAAACTTTACCGATACAAGTTCTTTCTTAAATAAAACTGGTTTATTCTTTCTAAATACAACTTTGCAATACACTTAATTTCCACGGTCATGCTATAACAAACTCTATAATTTACAACGAAAGTTTATTGGAGGATGTGTTGCTCTACTACTGATGAAGGACTTTATTCTAATAAATGATTATAAGTTTGTGTGATCCACATAAATACATGTCGAGATGGGAGTTTCATTCAAGGATTATGGCATGCACAAAAATCTTCTTGCCAGATGCACCAGGTAATAGCTCTTAGTTCAGAAATGCTACTCACATCTCCACAGAACTAAGAGCTATTTGGGTTATTGAAAAATTCTTGGGTTTGTTTTGAGGAATATTTAGCTTAAGAACAAGGTTGTTATGGTGGGACTTTATTTGGAGCAATATGTGCAGTTTTGGTCCCCATACTACAGGAAGAATATCAATATGTTGTAAATAGTGCAGACATGGGTTATTAGAATAATACCTGGTTAAATCACTCCCATTACAAGGAGAAGCTTTCTATTTTGGACTTTCTCTCTTTGAATTAGTTTTTAGACTTGTTCTGTCTGAATTAGCTTTTGAACTTATCCTCTTTAAGTTGTAATTTTGTGTTTGTTTTTTTCAAAGAGCAGGAAAATTATGGGGACCTGATGCAGGTGTTCAAAACTGTTGGAGGTTTGGTTAGTTTCATATAAGTAGTCTCAATGAGTGGTGGAATGAAAAGATTTTAAATACAAATATGATTGAATAGGAATTGTGGGCTTAAACTTTAAAAGTCTAGATGAATACAGAGGTTTCTAATCAGTTAGATTGGAAACTTATAAGATAGCTTGCCTGATTGTATGGTATGTGTAGTTTACATTCTTTTGTTAAAATCTTCAACTGTAATTTACTGGCTGGGGCAAAGATACCACTTACATTCCTAACCTAATTATCAGTTAGTTTTGTGGATAAAAATCATTACCATAAGACACCAGCCTTTTAACTTGACAAGCCTTGTAAAAAATTTTAATATATTAAACAGTTTTACTTTTAATCCTACCAACAAATTAAACTTACCTTTTCTTCAGCAGCTGATGCCCGACGTTCAGCTTCTTCTAGTCTTGTTTCAAGCTCAACGAGCTGTTATAAAGAAAAACTCAGAATTTAACATGTAAATACTTTTTATTTAAATACGATATTTACCTATATCAATCTCTCATTTTAATGATGTATTTTTTAACTCTTTTTATACCTATGATACCATAATCTGAAAAATGCTTTCCAAAAATTGCTCTACTCTGTTCAGACCTTTTTACACAGCACATTAAAGATCGGTCTCAAATACTTTTTGTTTTTTTCTTTTATTCTTGTTTTCAACATATCTGCAAATATATATATATATATATTTAAGAATTATCAAACGATGACTACATCTTAAACAAATGCATCACAACACTTTAATTTATGCAGTTTATAAAGAAGATATTTCTCAATATAATTATGATTGTCTTTAAAGCCTTAAAATTTGAACCAAGTTGTTCTTATTTTAATTAATTTTAAATTTAATACAGGGCGGTACAGCTGTAAAATTCTTCTTAATCTCCTGTCATTCATTTATAAGAATGTCTATTCTTCATATTTCAGAGAAAATGCACGTTTTGTGCGTGTATATCTTTTTTTAAAAAAATAGAAGCCTGATGATTGTCAAAGGGAAAAAAAAAGCCGAAATTTCAACTCAAATTAAAGTTCCAACTGGAATTTTGTGGATTGATTTAATGGCTACTCATACTTTTTAAGGTCATTTACCTTGTAATTACTTGATATGAAAATAGTTTATGTATTAAAAGTAAAACATTAAGCACAAGACAACTTTAGACACTGTTGTGGAGTAATATGGAGTGGATTGTATATGTTTTTAATTCATATTTTAACATGCGTAAGAATTTCAGTTAAGAATTTGAATTTTTTATTTTTTTAGCAAAGGTGTACGATAGAAACAACGGAATACAAATTTCGTTTTTTCTTACGTCTAAAATGTAAAGTTATTTAAACATCTGAAAAATACTCCAGCCCGCACTACAAAAAGTTTCACTTATGTTCACCAGATGGCATAAACGTTACTGCGATTTTTTTCTTTTTTCATAAGTTAAAAAAATATTTATAATAATTAGGAACTAGAATGTATTTATCAAGAAAAAGCTATATGAAAAATTACAGAATTGAGGTCACAGAGGAAGAGCACAGGTTTTTAAATGGTGACGAATAAAAGCAGGTGATCAATTTAATTGACTTCAACTAAATGACAATTTACTCTTGGTCCTAGAAAAGGTGATACCATTTGCTTTTATAACGAATCATCCATACAATATTGAAAGCTTCCTATTAACGACATTTTCTAAAATAGTATCTGGTACATGGATGAAAATCAATATGTGGCATTATAACGCTTGATTTTACTATAAATTTTCGTTCAGACGATTAAATAAAACATAGGTATTCAAAGCTACAGCACTTGAGAAATATAGACCCACCCATCATGCTCACACTGCAGAACTACACTATCACATAGTATAGTTCTTTGCCTCACAAATCTGGCAGTACCATTCTAACTATAAAGTGGTCCACTTCAGTCTATTAAAAACGAAATAAAACGTTGTAGTTTTTGTTTTTGCAACTTAATCATGAATAGCGAATTTGTTTCAAATCAAAATCTACAAAATCAAAGAAAAAAGTGTGTTTAGGCAGTGATCTAAGAGTGTCTTTTTTTCAGTTCAATAAATAACTGATCTAGAATCAAGCTCACCTAGTACTACAAGAAAATTAAGCAAGGTCAAGAAAGTCGTTGTATATGAAAGTATTATTATAAGGCTATATTTTTAATGTTGTAGTTTGTTATCTAAAGGACGTAGAACTCCTAGAAATTTATAAAGTTTGATATCAAATTTTGTTCTAGCACACTCCAACGTAGATTAGTAATACCATGCTCTGTGAAGCGTTGTTAGGCTAGTTAGAGAATGTGGAGAGTGATTTCAAAATATAGAGTGAACCAGTCGAGTGTTAGCTATTGCAGTTACTTGTACAAGTAAGTTAATTTGTTATACATTAGTTAATGTCATTTGTAACGTAGGCCTACTGCAACTTATAGAAGTGTACAAGTATTCAAACTTGTAGAATGTTAAGGGAGGAAATAAAGTAATTTATTATCGTTAAGTGGACTGAAGGTTTAATTATTTTCACCAGATAAGCTAAAGTGCTCGCCAACAAAAGTACGCTAAAACAATGGTATTAGAAATTGAGTTTATTTTGGTGAAAATAGAATAGAACTTAAAATATGTTTGAAATAGAACTACTTCAGTTGTTGAAAATGATGACCATAAGGTCAACTAGTAAGATTCATGCATTACATGAGATGATGAATTTATCAAGACAAGATCAAGAAGAATGCGACAGAAAATTAAAAGAAAACGAAGAACGAGACTGCCATGATATAAAAGACTGTTTGGTTTACATATAAGTGATTGATTTATTTTTGTGAGTGAATATTTTATCATTGTTTAGTTTTTGTTATAATAAGAGTTAAAAGCAGAACATTGTAGGAGGTTTTGTAAATAACTCATTGACGTCGAGAACATAGAAGGCGGACAGATGATTAAGTGATAAAGATATAAATAGCATGAGACGAGCGGGAACAGCAGATAAATAATAACAAAATAGAATAAAGTCGGTGTGAAGTTAACTACCATAAAAGTGATAGGCCTAATGTTCAATATGTTAAAGTGAAAATAACAGTAGAAAACAAGGTAAGAAAAATAATTTTATTCCGTCAAAGCGTGGTTCTAAAGTAGTTGAATCAGCCTGAGTGCACATTGACATCAGGAACAGAGGATCTTCAAAAGAAAGAAGACCAGATGATTACGGTAACTCGCGCCACAATTGTAAGTGGACCAAAGAGAATATTAGTGCGATAAAAATAGAGAAGATAGTTCGGCTAGTCAACTGAAATTTTAAAGTAATTGAACAGGCCTAAGTGGATATTTGACAAGAACGAGAGAACTACGTATATAGTATTTATGATATGTCCATAACATCTATAGTATTGAAGAATTTATTGTACATACGTTAACTTGTTCTGAATATATATATATATATATATATTGTTTTGGAAACAAGTGTAGTGCATGCTGTTTATTCATCGTTGAATTTATCGCTAACAAGTCAGAGACACCTACTGTAGAAGAATCCTAAGCCCAACAACAACATAGTGTATATTTATACTACTAAGAAATATAACCAAAAGTCTTTCTATTTGATAACTGGCAAAACGGAAAGTTATATATATATATATATTGTTAAATTTTGACAGAGACTTGTTTGTTTTTAATTATGCACAAAGTTACACAAGGGCTATCTGTGCTCTGCCCACCACGGGTATCGAAACCCAGTTTCTAGCGTTGTAAGTCCGCAGACATACCGCTGTGTCACTGGGGGGCAATTGATAGAGACAGAAAATTAATAGAGATAAAAACTTAAAAAGACCAAGAAGAATGACACCAAAAATTAGAAGAACAGAATATTGTAAGAAAAAAGATAGAAAATCAAAAGAAAATCGGGAAGGAATTTACAGAGGATTAAAAGAAAATCAAGAAGTAAGTGACTAGAATTTAAGAGAGGAGTTACAAGAAAGGGACATACTAGTTAAGTAAAAATAAAAATTAAATATGATTTGAGGATATGACTGACGAATCTATTGGAGATGTACAAAAATATTACAGCAATAAGATTGAAAAAGTATGGAAAGGTTGTAATGTCGCATAATAAAGAAGTATCCAGAGCAAAGTTCTAAAATAAGGTATGGAAGAAGACCTTAGCCAAACTTGCAATGGATTTGAAAATATTTGCCCAACTATCTTACCCAGATGTTCCTTGTAAAATAATAGATTTTATGGCATGTAACCAATTTATAAGAGGTCTAGAAGAACTAGGAGAATTAATCAGACAGCTATCTAAACAGAACATAGAAAGTAAGCCATAAGAGAATAAATATTTTACGTGTATCGTGAAGGGATATATAGCCATGAAATGCAGTCAAAGACCTGTGGGGAATAAGAGTTCTTCTCAAAGGACACCAGAACGAGATAACTGTTAAAATTGTGGGAACCTGTTATTACAGCCAAGACTTTGATAAATTAACAGCTGTTATCAAGCCAAGGAGACAGAACCTAACTATATCAAAAAAACAACACAGGGCTAACGAAACATAAAAAACAAAAGAATTTGTTGAATTTATGAAGCTAAGTTTAGCTGGAAATACTCCATCTACCCCGAATGAGAAAAAAAAAAGATTATTATTTGAGGAAAATCCTTCATGCATCCACAGAGATGGAAATTCTTGCAGCATGCTGGTTGACGCTGATTCCATAGCTACAATTGTTCCTCCCGATTTGTTAAAAAAAAGATGGGAAGTTGCTTCCAGAGATGATGAAACAAGAAGGGATGATAAGAAACGTGAGTGAATATAAGTTTCTAACAAAAGGAAAGTTAGAAGTTACCTTTACTGTATGTAGCTTCTCTACAACTCAAGATGCATGGGTAACTGACATCGAGGAAAAATGCATATTTGGAACTGATTTCATAAGTAGACCATGGATATGAGGTCAGGCTAGCTTCAGATAATGTCATAGTCTATGACCAGGAAATCCCTGTGCACTACATGGCAAATACTATAGTGGAGGTTGAACATCCAGTGGAAACAAGTAACAGTGGTCATTGTACCAACAAGGAATGGGATACTCTTACTGAGTTAATAGCAATAATTCTTCATCTAGTGACTGGGGCATAGTAGAACCAAATACTCAAGCATATCATGAGGGATTGGTGTTTGGGAAGGTTCTCATGGATGTGAAAAATAAAGATGTTATAAAAGACTTTACTCAAAAACGACTTAAATCGACTTGTGATAAAGCAAAAAGTAGCTATGCTGATAAAACTGGATCATCCACTGTGATCATCTATGGAAGTATGTCAGTGAGAAAGTAGTCAACTGAGTAACTCAAGAGATCTTATCAGTGGAAATCCTCCCTTCTAAGGAGCCCAATATTCCTGTTGAGATTACTTCTAGAGGATCCTCAACATTGGGGCTGTCAGTGGATTCACCCTACCACCTACCCAAGAAGAGATATTCCAGCGACAGGGTAATCAAAAAGGATCTCCATCAGGAAAAGTAACACAAGCTACATGTATACAAGTTGCTTCTTTGGTATATGAATATACCATGTGTTTCAGTATTTTTGTAATGTTAATAGTATTTATTCTGAACTTATTATTTATTCTGTATATGTATAGGTTTCACATAGCACGTGGTCGAGAAAAACGTTAAGTTAATTTTATTCTCGCTGCCTTTCTTCCTTTGTTATTCTGGCGTAGAAAATACCTGTTATACCAGGGGAAGGAAGGATATTGTTGTAATACTGTACGTTGTTCACGAATGTCGACAGCAGTGTTTTCCAACGGTATGTCAAGTTCTTTCATGTTAAATAGTAATACTCTCCTAAAATTTAACCTAACTGTAACATTAATTAATTCTTATTAAATAGCTTTACAAGTTGGTAGGAGAGTATAGAGAATTAGCTCTCTAGAAATGGCTCTGTTCTTCGTTCTGTATACAATAATTTTATTGTTTTTGAATATAAAGAAAGACTGTTTTCACCGCGTGTTTTTTCATTGTATCCAGTCTCTTTCTTCTTCAAACTTAGTCAAAGTCAGAGAACTCAAAATTGCTCTATAATAAATATCTTGTTGAACTTCCTATTATTAAGCAGACTTATCCCATTTCTCTAAGGTTAACTTAGTTTTGCCCGAATACACCACACTTTCATGACATATCTGTTCAACCATTGTATATCTCAAGCAAATGAAGAATGAAACGGGTATTCATGCTATACCGTATATCAAATCGTCAGATGCAGCACCTATATATTTCTGTGTGATTAGACTGTTGAAATGAGCATTGAGAAACTGTCGTCCTCGTACACTAGAAAAGAAAATCAGCAGGGAGTAGTGGTGTGCTGTTGACATAACAGCCATACGACGGAGTACTCTGCAATGAAAACTATGCTGTAGAACTATTGTCAAGGTGTAGGGCCGTCAGATAGAGTATGACCGGTGTTGGCGACATGGACTGTAACGACGTAGTAAGGTTCCAAATTTGCTTTAGTATAATATACTGTATAATGAACAGATAAACAGATGCCATTGTTGCACTTTATTGAAATCTTACATTAACATGTAAACATACAACTTTTGACAAGATTAGTGTTAACTTATAAATTCATAATTTATAATAAAATATATATAGCTGTAATCAGTGTTCTAGTGTAAACAATAAATCCTTGAAATTCAGAAAAAGGAATAGATTTTAATTTAGAAAATTCGCGATATAGAAGGTACTTTTATCCAACATTTCAAGGAGAGGGGGGGTGTCAAAATTTGTAACGAATATGAGTACCACTTTATAGTTAGAGTGCCACTGCGGGTACCCCATAACATCAGGACTGTATTTCGCGTGCATGTAAGGAGTCATATATTTTTGATAGACTTGTGTTTGTAGAATAATACATGTGATTACAATCTCCTATCAAAACAGAAACATGGATCTTTATTTGATTGATCTATAGTTGATCATTTCATATGTGCAGCCGTGTCGTACTTTGATCACCATACGAGAAATGGACCAAATTTGTAGTTAAATCAGATAGGAAACGTTTCTCTCTTCTCACCCCCCCCCCCCTTATTATGCCACTTATAATTCATAGCTTATAAAAATTTTAATGAATTTTCGTCTTTATGTAAACACGCCTCTAAACACCTTAACGAATCAATTGGGCTACAAAATGATAAATATGTTAAGACAATACAAGGGAGATCAGTTATTTATGTATTACTTAACTATCATACAAGAAAAAGAGTTGGAGTATATATAATATAACACAGGTACAGTACCGGATTAACACATAGGGCCCCGATGGCCACCCAAGTAAAACAATTATGGTTCGTAAAACTAGCAGAACAGATTTTTATTATTACTAATATCATTATATTTATTCTCAAATATTACCTGGGCCTAAGGCCCCACTAAACCTTAGTCCGGCCCTACACAGCAGTAACATTAAACGATGAATGTTTTTTTTTCTTGTTAAAGTCGAATTATGGTAAACAACCATAACTGGTTTTTAATAATTACCTGGTTGTAGTGTTTAAACAAAGATTCTATAATCACTGTGGTTCATCTAATATGTTTGGTTAACTTCAGATCTTTTCCTGTAACATACATAAGTGATGGAATCCACCAACCGAAGTTAGAATAAATAAATTTTGTTGGATCAATATTTAATTTCAAAAATGTGTGTCAAGTAACTGAAACTAGTCATCTAGTGGACTAGCACTAAGTTTACGAACTCGCGATGCTAAAATCCTGGGTTCAATTCCTGCGAGGTACAGAGTGCAGATAGCCCATTGTGTAGCTTTTCACGAAGAAAACAAATGTAACTAATGTGAAATAATTAATTATATTTTCAATTTATTTATTAGAAGTAAAGTCTTTTATGCACAAATAGACTACTATAAAATGTAACTTACAATTTCATTACAATAAGGAACACTAAAATAAAATATAAGCCAAGTCGGCTGTAACAGAGTCAAAGTTGCTCCTTACTGACGAGTGTTCCTTCTTTCACTTTTCTATGTTCCCACTATTCTAAAAATAACAGCGGAAACGACCGAGGGAGCCTTACATGCAAGAACCGAGTAAGAAACTCACATTACTAACATACGTTGATAGGGAATCTGTGTTACTTTTAAAGCTAATTTGTTTATGAAGGGCAGAAAAAACTTTCTATATATATGTATGCCAATGTGACTTAAATTGAAACACGCACAGGTCAAGTAATGATACTGACAAAACAACGTGCTTACAGTGACGCTTGAAAATGGTTGATAAATACTATTTCAGGAACTGTCTTTTTTTTACGTTAATGCCTTTAAAATAATAAAATGTTACCTTTATACAAAAGTAACTCCAAATGCGAAGCAAGAACACCTCGAAAGTAAATAAAATTTCAAAATTTTATTTTTTGAAAAGGATCACAATATTGTTAAGTTTAAATGTTCGTGTTTTTCAATTATATCCCGTCTACTGTTTTGTGTAAACTGTTGTATTCACGCTTCTTAAAAGCAAGAGTTTGATCTCTGGTAGCATTCCACTAGCGTATCTCCAGAAAGTTAGTTTATATTATATTATTTATATTTCACTTCAGGGGCTGAAGAATTTGTAAATTTCTTTAAAAAAAAATACTATATAATAAAGAGCTGCAAAAGTCAAACTAACCTTATCTTATTTTCAGAACCATTCTATAAAAGAAAGAGAAATTGAAATAACTTAGATTACTTTCTGTAGTTTATTAGCGGCGTTACTAGCCTAGTCGGTATTATACAGCAGAAACTTCGTTATTTTAAAGCCGTGGATAGAAACCAACTGCAGTGACTGTTCAGTTTTTCAACGACTCCATTCTACAGTGCTTAATGATTATCTAAGTAATGATCAGCGACCCCCCCCCCCCAAAAAAAAAACGTGACATCGCAGGGGAACATTTAAAGAAATTTCCCATAATGACTCAAATGAACAATATCTATCTCAGCCTCATGATTGTCCCTTTTATTTAACTTTGTTTAATGTATTAGAATAAATCATATAATTTTAACTGACATCAAATCATTTTATCTAAAATATGCAAAGAGCTAAAAATATTTTCAGTATGATGCTAGAAGAAATGAACAATTTCAAACTTTGATTTAATTACTTTATTATAGCAGATGAAATGCAGAATTTGAACTAACTTTATTTTCATATTTGCGTTATACTAGAAAAACGGTAGAATTTGAAATAACTTTTGTTTAAAGTTTGTACTACACTAGAGGGAATGCAGAATTTTAACTAACCTTGTTTTCATTTTGTATTATGCTAAAAACTGTAGAATTTTAACTTTAGTACCTTACTAGACTGGTTATAGAAAGTGAACTAACTTTGTATTATACTGGATAATTTTAAGTAAATTTGGTTTTTAGGAATAAGAAATAAGTATAAATGTGTAATTAAATAATTTGGTCTGAAGTTAGCTATAGTGTTTAATACAAGAGACATAATTTGTAGTATTGTTTGAAAGAGAAATTGAATCCAACCCCAGAGTGTGAACTTAAAATTTATAGCTTTTTGGTGGATAAAAACTTTTTAGATTGATATTATGGGATTTTTTTTTTGGGGGGGGGGGTAAAACTCATTCAACAAAGCTAATAAATCTTGTCTAATTCTAAAATGCAAAATACATATTCTATATAACAAAGAGATAACACTTATCTCTGGCAATTAAAAATTATATTTAACTTTATGAAATGTTGTAGATTGTAAAAAGTTTAATATGTTTTCTGATTTCAAAAATACTACAGTGTTGGCTTTAGATTTATAAAATGGAAATCTACCTTGTTCCTTAGAAGTTCTCTGATTTTTGTGGCTTGCTCACGAAAACGTTCTAAAGACATTTCCAGTTCAAAACAACGCTCCTGCCAGTTGATCTCTGAATTGTTCTGCCACATGGTGGCACTGTTGTTGGAATTACACCCAAAAAGTGAACTGTCTATATCATCTTCACTGGAAGCCTCAAATGATGGGAGTGAAGAAAACATAGAATATGAAGCAGTCAAGTGATCATATGGTGCTGGTGGTGGTGGGCCTGAAACTGGAGGAGCCTCTGATTCTGACATTGTTTTATAGCTCTATCTGCAAGGAAAATTTTAAAGTTCGTTAATTAAAGCTTCAGATATATGAAATTTAGATAAATGACGATTTAAGACTTATTCTATGCATAAGCTTCCTAGACTATTAAAATTTAACACCATAGTCAAATTAAAAAAAACTTGCCTTTTGGATTTCACAAGCCAATGTTTTATTTCTTATATCATTAGCTCCATTACTTATTTTTGTTCACTATTCCACTGAATGGCATGGCGGTATATCTGCGGACTTACAACGTTAGAAACCGGGTTTAGATACCCATAGTGGGCAGATCACAAATAGCCCATTGTGTAGCTTTGTATTTAATTACAAACAACTAACCAGTAAAAGAATAAATTTAAATCCCATCACTCTCAACGTTACATTTAATAATCCACTGTCCTGTAACAATTTCATTTGGCCTCAGCTCAGATTATTATATCTTGTACTTCGATGACGAGGAACCCACTTTGAGACTAATAATGCTTGAAGACGGCTTGAATGGGTAATGAAGAAAAACTTTAATACAAGTTTAACATAGCAGAAAATGTACAATGTTTCGACAAGGTTTTGTCATCACCTTGTCGATACGTTGTACATTTTCTGCTATGTTAAACTTATATTAAAGTTAATAATGGCTGGAGACGGCTTAAATGGGTAATGAAGAAAAACTTTAATATAAGTTTAACATGACAGCAAATGTACAACGTATCGACCTGGTGATGACAAAACCGTGTCGAAACGGGGAAGAGTTGAGGT